GAACGTGGTGTCCTTGCGTACGCAATGCCGCCACGTACGCAGCGTACGCAGTACCAAAACTCTCTAATGTACTTGATCGGTATTGCGGAGTTTGCCTGCCGGCCCCTGTGATTGTCGCACAGCGTAAGAGACTCGACGAACCCGGCTGTAGCGCCTTCGTGCGCAATGGCAATGGGGAGCGTCGCGCCCCTTCCTGGTTGCTTCGTAGTGTAAGCGATTCGCAAACCTATCTCCACAACCTTTTAAGGTTAACTACGTTACCGCAATACAAGATTGCGTTTACTGTGTTACCGGAACTCGTGCTTTTCAATGCTTTAGCTGCCCATACGTAAACGTTTACGTACGTGCGTACACGTATACCTTTATGCTTGCGTAAACCATAAATGGGGATGATAACTTTTACTTAAACTATATTTTCCTCAGGTAAGATTGATTCGCTACTGCGGCGAAATGATGATGCGTTTTTATCGTGTACAGTATCCTCGTATGCGCCAAGAGGCGAATAAATATAAGGTTGCCGCAATGATGGTGTGGACATCTTGTAACACTTAGTGCGACTACAGTCGTGAACACGTTGGTTCACGCCTAATGTAATCTGCATATGTCGTCGAAAGACGATAGTCTTGTGTGTGTCGAGAGAGAACAAAACATTTATTTTATGTTCTCCGCAAGAAAATCGGTGAATGGTATTCCGGAGGCGCTGCGTTAGAGTGCCTCGAGCGGGCAGCGGAGGCTCACGAGCGCATCAAGTCATGTCACACGTGAGCAATGAGCGCCATCTGGCAGTTTCTTTTGGAAAACAAAGCGCGTGGCCGTGCGCGCCCGTCTCAGAGGTGATAAGGTGTAGAACGCGAGGCGACGGGCAGATGCCACCACCATCTCTTCTTAGCAAAGCATTGGAAACACTCCCCGTTCCGTGCAAGCGTTGCATGGTAAGCGCAGCGTGATAAGCGCTACGGTTCTTAAAATTACTTATGTGTGCGTTTTCTAGTAAGAGATGCATATGCAGAATATATGCGTGTTGTTGTGGTGCCCCAGACATGCGCAATAATTGCTTTTTAACTGACAATTGCACAAACATTAACGCTCAACCTTGAGCAACATTGGTGGTCGCTGCGGATGGGGTCGACCGTTTCAAGTACCCGGTGCCATTAGGAGTGGGCAAACAGACAAGCGTACGTACGTACAGACAGACAGACAGACAGACAGACAGACAGACAGACAGACAGACAGACAGACCAAAATTTCTGCGTCGATGGACCCCAAGAAAGACTATCGTCTTTAAAAAGGTATACAGCTCATTCGTAATAATACCGCTGCGAGGCCTCTACACCTCACATTGCGCGGACGACGCACGGTACGCGATTGCGTCTTGCAACAGGGGCCAATGATGCCGTTGCTCTTTGGTTGACCTCAGCGTCGACTTTCGGTTGTTACGACCGTCGGGGGCACTAACGCAGCCAGCGTTTACTATACTGCACGGAGCGATGGCTGCTGGTCCTATCACAATGCGGGAGCTTCGTCTATGTGTAAGGCCGCAGCCCTCGACTCTTCGAATTTAGGGCATGCCCGCAAAGTGCCGCAACCGAGCGAGGACTACTTGAGTCTCGCCCGTTCACCGAAGCGCGATGTCGGAACACTGCGTCTTGTAATTTGTCATGCCCGACCGATAATGCATGGCGTGCGTCTGTCCTATGCAAGGGCCTCCTTTCCCTGTGCCCTCTACAGCCCTCGTGCGAGTCCTCTCCACCATTCTATGGCGTAGAGTCCCCCCTTCCGTTGGTGGTGCACTGTCACTGTGGACGTGCGCTAATTAATAACGCGGCGTTGCTGTAGATAAACCCTTGTCCCCGTCTCATCTTGCCCTATGAGAGAACGCGCTTCGACCGTTCTGCCTCGTCAACTCGGTGGCTCGAGCCGTGCACGACGGCACGAAATTGAGAAGAGGAAAATGCCTAAAGAAAACTAGATTGTCGGGTGCGTTTCGAAACGACGTGATCAAGCGCGCAGTGGGCTAGCTAGCTTGTTTCTGGTTAAGCCTGACGCATGTATTGACATTAATCAACATCAATGCGATCTAGATTAACACTGTCAGACAGCAGAGCTTGTGTTGTGTTTCTGTTGTATGCTGTTTATCTTCACCTCTCGGCCAGTGTCGTTAGCGATGATTAAAATCTGGCGTGGCTCCGCCAGACCTGTGCTGCTTTAAAAGCCTTTGTCTGGTTTTCTTTCTTTTTCGACGTTAATTTCAGGTTCATGCCTGATAGCTCGCTTTATTTTTATGCTTAACTTATAGCAGGCGTGACGCCGTAAGCAAGGTTTAAATGAGCGCCGGTCAGTACCTTCGTGTCGTAGAAATACACATCGTGGGTTCAATTCCAATTGGAGTGGAATATTCCACGAAAAGTGGCTAATCGATCAGAACAAATAATTGGCAGGACAGTCGTTCAAGATGCTAATCAATATGACAGATTTCCTGCGCGCTCCGTTTGCGGTATTAATAGTGTGTGTGTGTAATACTGATGCCGGTGTAGTACATACCTTATAAGCACATTTTGCAAGATGTGTTATATATCTGTTTTACGTACTGTAATATATTATAATACGTAAAAGGGGTGCTGCAAGACTTTTATACGCAACTGCATCCAATGACTTAACCAAAGAACTTTACTACCTTACCAATCGACTGCCGGAAAAAAAAACTTTAGGAGCTCTCAAGTATACGAGTGCAGCTGCAAAGATTTGACGCATGCTGTAATTGCTGTCTCTCTTCTTTGGTCCCGACAAACGTGCTGAAAGCTAAAGCTAGATTCACACGCGAGGGCAAAATCCCGCGGACCGAATAGTCCGCGGAGCAACAACAACAAACGTGCATACGGTAAAAGTGTAACGAACATCTAACCAAGATCACAGCCTTCGTTGATATGAAAGTTTTACCTCACAATACACTTAGCAATGACATGGCGCTAGATGTGATATACGTTGGACATCTACATTCCTTCTGGCGACCTTTGAATGCTGATCAATGAAGTTAGTGACCATAGCAACATCTTCCAAGTCTGCCCCGCCGTGGTGGTCTAGTGGCTAGGCTACTTGGCTGCTGACCCGCACGGTCGCGGGCACGAATCCCGGCTGTGGCGGCTGCATTTCCGATGGAGGCGGAAATGTTGTAGGCCCGTGTGCTCAGATTTGGGTGCACATAAGAAACCCCAGGTGGTCGAAATTTCCGTAGCCCTCCTCTACGGCGTCTCTACATAATCACACGGTGGTTTTCGACGTTGAATCCCCCATATCATTACATATTTGTACTTCGTACTTTATCTTCGTTGTAACTGCGCACACTCTTCTTTCCTCTAAATATTTCGTTGTGCTATTCACATTGCTTGAGGCGTTGAGCAGCCGCACCTGAATGCCAGCTGCATGGTTATTGATCTGTATCTGTGCACTGGAAGCACAGATACACTGGAGCACAGATACACTGGAGCACTGAAGCACTGGAGCACAGATATCGCCATTGTAACAGGTTGTTAAACCCTGTCATTTCGAAGCCGGCATCGGCCGTGGGCTCGTTAATACCAGCATACGTGGCCGATTAGAGGAATTAACTACGGGAATCGGCGAGTTCACCAGCACTTGCCATCGTCTATTTAAACGAGGTGTCGTATCACACAGCCGCGTGCGCTCCAACAGCGTGTGTAGCAATGCGCCCTTAAACGTCAGCGCTTAAGCCGGCTGCCCCGCCTATCTGCAACCACTCGTTAATTTTGCCTTCTTTCTTCAACGGGTCATGCCCTACACTTGGTATCACGCTTGAGTGAACCACGCTATAATCAGCGCTAGCTGTATCTAGATCAATCGCCCGGTGGTTCACCGCCCAGCTTGTTATGTCGTCACCCCATGAGCCCGCTTCGTGCTTCCGCTTCATCGAGCTCGCGCGCATGGTTTCAGGCGGGCAACGCTGTTACATGTATAGGTCATACAAGTCGTGTAGCGCTCTCTCCCCGCCGTCGGCAGCCGACAACCGATGGTCCTCGGTCATAACGCGCGGTTGGCTACGTGCTCGCGCATAGCGCCCCGAAACTCCCGCACGCGCTCGCTCAGATTTAGGGAAATTTCTACCTCCCTTCTCCACGCGCTCACTGCACGGGGCTGCATGTCGTTGTCTCCGAACTCCCATGAATCATCGACGCAAAAGAGCGCGTGCCCCCGTGCAGCCGACCCATTGTTCAAAGAGCGCGCCTCGTCGGGAAATGACCGTCTGCAGTGCACTACACTAGGCGGCGAACAAGCGGGTCGAGGCGCTGCTTCCGAAGAACACGGCGTGAAGCGTGTAAGCAGCGATGCAAAGCGATGCCAAAAAGTGGAGAACAAAAAACACAGAGGTAGCAAAGGTGTCGGTAGCGACTGCATAGTAGAGCCGAGGAGGAAGGAAAAGTGGAGAGGGCGATGATGAAATGGAAGTTTTAGGGGGCGCGTAGTTTTTAGGAATCGTCGGGCGTGGCGACGACTTTTGCATTTATTTCCTCGCAACGCTCGACTTCGGCGAGTTTGTGCGCTCGAAATGAGACACAAGAAGGACAATAATAGCCCTAACGTGGCGTCTTTCGTCGTCGGAGCAGGTAGGAAAAATGGCACGATGACGACAATCGCCCTTCGAGAATTCCGGCGGCCTGACCGGCTCGCGCATGAAGAGGCGATCCACTGCTGACGCCAATTTTCGTGTTCTTCCTTTCACTGTAAGTTCTCCGTTAGTGTGTCTTTTCCGAGGCTCCATATTTGAATCTTTGCTCTGAATTTCGCTCTCTTATCACTGTTATCATGCACTGTCGCACTTTAAAAGCGTCCAGGCCGAGCGAGTCTCTGAAGCCCCTCTGATTCTAAAGAAGAATTGCCTAAAGTTTTTGTGAATTTTCAGCGAATGTTCGGGGCTTCAATTTTTCGAAATGAAGACGAATGTCCTGGTGTCATAGTAACGCTTCTTTTTTTTTCTCTTTCAACAGATGACCTTGGAGACGACGTGTGCCTGCATTGCTGGCGAGAAAGTACTGCTTAGGTGAGTCTGCCTTGTTCGTGAAATTCAGCATAAGCCTGGAGATACGAAAATAACAAGAAACGAAAGGGTCAATCCATCTGATTTCTTGTTGGCGAACATAAGTCATGAACTCGGAGCACTGGCGTAGTCAGGCAATGAGAGGGGAGGAGAACAAGGCAAATGCAATATTTTCAACATCGCATGTGTATATATACACGCATACATACAAACACACGCAGGACTATACATAAAGTATGGTTCAACCCCATCAGCCCCCCGCGGTTTCCAAACACGAACATAAAAAAAGTTATACATAACCAAAAGAGGAAAAAGTATCAGAAAAATACAGTTCTTTCTACTGTTTTTGCTTCTGTCTCTTCCCTTTCTCCTTTCATCTTTATACTCTCCATTGCCTCAGCGTAGGGTAGCGAACCGGGCATGTGCCTGGGTAACCTCCTGCCTTGTTTCTTGTTGTTCTTCCTTTGTTGTTATGGGATGTTGCGATCCCACAGTGACGTTGGAAGTGCTTGCGCAGGTGGCAATTAATAATGAACTTGGACAACGTAATTTAGTGGGCGCTCGCTAGCTGCAAATTTCACTGACGGAAAATAATGTTCAGCTCTCAGGAGAAAAATGCATTATAAACAGTCCCGTGTGGGCATCTTACCTTTCGCAAGCGACAAAAGCTTTTCTTCGTTCAGAATAGTTTGTAGTGCCTGTAAGGACAGACACTGAAAGACGATAAGCTGGCGCTTGGTCGGTGTGGCCTTTAACTTGCTCTTTATTTGGACCTTACATGAGCAAGCATTGCCGAAATCATTAATTACGAAATCATAAATTAGCGCAGTGACCTAATTGCATACAGGAACGTTGCTAGCCTGCGCAAGCTATTAACAGTGGTATATGTATTGTTAGTATTTGTTGGTGCTCTAAGCTTGAAATAATAACGAGATTTCGTGAACTTGCTCCTAAAACAGGTTAAAATATATATGCAGTGGTAATAACGCGTACATTCACACACAGCGGGAGCGCGGAAATTAACCAGTATACGCAAAAGAAAAAAAACACACTTGACATATGTTTTTTCTCTTATGTAGTCTCATGAGCATCTTGTTTACGAAAATGTTCTTACGCATACGCTATTCGCAATTATGTTCCAGTAACACCGCGACAACTGCAGGAAGAGACAAAAGAGGGACAGGAAACAGCGTTCTTTCCTGTTCATTTTTTGCCTCTTCTTTAAGTTGTCGCGCTGTTACTAGAACGTAACCACGAAGAACCAACTCGCCCAAATTAAGCTCTTGTTGCTATTCGCAACTTCCACAGATGGTGGCGCCACCATGCGGCAGTCGTCGTAACTCTCGTTTAAGGAAGCCCGCGCAGCCAGTCGTTCAGTCGGTCTCACTTTGGCGCTGCGCTGGTGTTCGATATTTTGTCGCTGGCAGTTTTTAGTATGGTTATTCTGAATTCGATAGGAAACTACCGAAGTCGGACAGGTACTTCGAGTCGTAGTAGCAATAGTCCTTATTGTTTGCTGCTCACTGTGAGATACAGGTAGAAGAATCACGAAACTTGCTGGCCGCTGTGCACACGCCGTGCAGTCAAAGGCGAGGTTTCGTGCTTTGCACGAGCAGTAACCTTACAAGAGAGGCAGAAAAAGCAAATATTTGTACTCGCGGCATTTCAGTAGAAGCACAAGCGTGTGTAGGTTTCTCCTTCAGGGGGGTGCGAAGGCTCGTTGAAGTGCCCCACCCCTTTCTTTTATTGCTGTTCGTAGGCGACATTCTTATGGCGAATTTCACTGCTACATCCGGAGCGTCCGCTCAAATCCCGGAGCGACTCCGAGTGAGCATTCGGATTGCGCCAAGCCAGATCTACGAGCGGAACACGTGAATGCCCCGCATGAAGTCGCCCCGGAAGTTGTTCACACACAAATGTTGGTTCGCGCATGCGGTAGCGGAAACTTCCTCGACGTAGCGGATTATTTTCGGCCGTGAGCACGGCGGGCCAGGAAACATTTCCTTATACATCATTTCGTATAGCACGTACGGCGCATCGTCCTCGCTGCTGCTACTTATGCTCTCGCTGTCGCTCAAAGCCAGAGGCAAACTAGCTGCAGCACGTTCAGCTGAGTCAAGCGAAGCCATTTTAGGAATGTAAACAAGTGCACAGGGTGACTAGACACCGCCTCGAAAAACGCTGAAGACAACCTAGGAGCCGTTGAGCTGCTCGACGATACCGAAAATGACGGCACGCATTCTCGGGAGTTCCCGCGAAATCTGGTTCTGCAAGACGGAGCACGCGGAACACTCCGTTGCGGAGTGCGTTGCTCCGAATGTGCGGTTGGAAAATACGAACATGCTCTGAATTCACCAGTGGAGCGCCGATTCACGGTTTCGGAGCAAGAAAACTTGCTCCAGCTCGACGAGTGGAATTCCCCATTACGTTATTAGGGTCTCCCCCCCCCCCTTCTGTTTCCACCTATATACACGTGCGCACGCATGTGAGTGGAAGTGAAGAAGCACTTCTAATCAAATATATTTTTCGTCGGCCTATTTTTTTGTAAACTGTTGGACTTTGAACTCCTCACATCCTTTTATTTTAATTTTATTGCTATGCATAGCTGGTTTTTATTGCTATATATACACACTCGCCAACCATTATGTAGGGTGGCTGACTGTGATTTGTGAAGCAGCCTATCGGCTGATTTTTGGTTGTTTCTTTTGCCTATGAGACTATATATCATGAAAATGAACGTTTCATTTGAAGTTAATATATCTAGGGAGATGTAACCAACTTTCAAGCAAGCTTGAAATTTAGTCAGGTGCTTTACTAGCTCATTGATCATTGATCACTCTTCTGCACGTAAATGCAACCAAGCTCATTTTGTTTAGAAGCGCACTAAAGCAGCTTTTCTCCCGTGCAAAGTGATAATAGGATTCGAACACTGACGTCACGACTCACTGTGGTTGCGCTCTTCAGAGCACCACTGATTCTTTCGTAGCCTGCATTGAAGCTAAAATACACATAATAGAACAAGAAAAAAAAAAGCCCCAGGTTTTCTAATACCTGTGCCACTTTTGCTTCCGTGCGATATGCTTCGGAAGTACTAAGCCTCTGAAAAGTGCAGCAATCTGCTCGCATGACCTATCTGAGAGTGAACGACTGTGTGCGTATATTCCATGTTACATGCTTCAGCAGCAAGCGCCTCATTCGTGCGCAGCGTTCGGGGCTAGTAAGCAACACGTCTTTCTGTACTACCTGTGGGTAACGAGAAAAAAAAGTAACTGTATACAATCACATAGGGGCTAATCACGCACTCAAGGCCGGCGAGAATAACCCATCGAAGAAAGACACCCCCCTCATCCCTATACTAAAGTAAATAAGTCAGTGCAGTACGTGGGCTCACCTTCATCGTTTCGCTGCTCCTTAATTCGACCCTTGGCGTGTGCGTGTATTTCCTCAGCAAACGATTTGCCCGGCGTTCAAAACTTAATTCTTTTCCTTCAATATTACCTTGCACACGTGTTTCTCAACACCCAGTGTGATAAATGCTAGAGTCCTTGAAAGCAAAACCTTGACGACACGGTCGCAGCAACCGAAAATACTACGCAGTTCGAAGTGGCGGCCACAACCTAACGACACGGCGCCCTACCGACAGCCATGGATGGATGGATTGATATGACTTTACCCTTTAGGTCGGGCGGTGGCTAATGCCACCAAGCCGTAACACTTAGTGAACCAAGAACTAGATTAATTTCCCCCTTTAAATAGTGAGGTTTAGGACTAGTACTTTTCAGTGAAGGGTTTAATTTTCACTCGTGCCTTGACTTCAGCCACCAATCAGATAACCTTTTTTATGTAATTCTACGCACTTAAAGTCTATTTTGCCCTCCCTGTCCCGAAACCCCAGTGCTTTGAAAAACTCTTCGCCATTATCCTGAACTATAGAGTGAAGCCCTTTACAGAACATTATCAAGTGTTCGGCAGTTTCCTCCTCCTCTCCAAACGCACTGCATACCGTGTCTACCCCTTCGTATTTGGCCCGATATGTCTTGGTTCGCAATACTACCGTCCTGGCCTCAAACAGTAGAGAACTACCCCGAGTATTATCATAGATCCTTTCATTGACAATTTCCTACTTAAAAGTTCGATAGATGTCTAGTGTGGACTTCTTAATCATCCCAATTCTCCACATCGGTCTCAGCTTCTTTCATCTTCTTCTTAACAAATAATTCTTTTTTGTTTGGCCTCCTGCTGTTTTCTAAGTATTTACCAGTGAATTTTCTGCTTCGCTTCCTCCATTTTGTATCGACGTTCGTCATGTATATGTAGCTGAGAACCTTCCTAGCCACACGCTTTTCCCCCATTTCTCTCAATCGCTTTTCAAATTTTATCTTGCTGCTAGTTTTTCTGCCCTCAAATGATGACCATCCAATATCACGTTGTACTCCCTGATTTGGTGTATTCCTGTGCGCTCCTAAATCAAGCCTACCTATTCCACGTTGCTTAATTTCTCATCTTGCTTGATCTTCTGATCTAATGCACAAGACCGCATTGCCGAACGTCAGACCAGGAACCATGACCCCTTTTCATATTCCTCTCACAACATCATGCATATTGTAATTCCACAGTGCCCTTTTTTTCATCACTGCTGCATTCCTGTTACCTTTAGTCGTCACATGTATTTCGTGTGTCCTCAGGTACTCGGTCCCATTGCTTATCCATACGCCCAGATATATGTATTTATCTGTTATCCATAGCGTGAAATTTTGTATTCTAAGCTCACTACCTTCATTATCGCTAAAAATAATGACTGCTGATTTTTCTTTACTGAATCTGAAATCTAACCTATCTCCCTCATTACTGCAGATGTCCATCAATCTCTGCAAATGTTCCTTGTTGTCGGCCATTAGCACTATATCATCTGCGTACATCAATGCTGGTAGTGCCTGTTCAATGAGTTTTCCTTGTTTGACAAAAGAGAGGTTGAAGCCAAGTCCACTTCCCTCTAATTTGGC